ACCACTGAGCCTACCAACCCATTTGGCTAGCATGGCTAAGGCACACCACTTTCTGTAGCCAGTGGCCCATGAGGGAATGATGGGGCCTGCATCACATCCTGCCACCTTTGAACTCCCAGCCCAGATGACCAATACCCATTTGCAGTTGGGTCCAATAGGGGTGTCCTTTATAATGAGTCTGGAGCAAGGCTCAAACGCGCCACTGCCAGAGCAAAACATCATAACTGCCCCACCACTGCACTGATTCCCATCCCTGTTAGGACTAAACACCACATCAGACAATTCGTTCCATAAAATAAATCAAACTCCATCTTAGGAGTAGTTATTTTACCTCTGCTACTCTTCTAATTCACAGTCGGTTCCTTACCTGTTGCACAATTTTTATACTATCCCCCATCTTTAACCAATAATTTCCCATGTAGCAACATGTCAGATGCTTTACTGATAACAAAAGATGAGAGCTGACAAACTTCCTGGGTCTGGAAAATCAGTTGTCTCATCAAAGATAGTGTTAATCTAGCACCACTGGCTTTTCCTAAATTCACGTTGCAATTTATCCCATTTTTTATTTCCTTGTCTTTATCCAGTCATTTTTCAAAATCTGTTTTTAATACTTGAATACTATTGAGGTCTGACTAGTGAACCTGTAACTGCCCAGATCTCCGTTGTCCTTCTGAAGAGTAGGTACTATGTAGGTACACACATATGCTATTGTCCTATCATACAGTACCACCTTGAACTTGACAGACTCTTAAAAGTCCTTGCTACCAGACCTGCAATGTCATGTGCCAGTTCTTTCATAATTCTGAGATGGAAAATATTCAGTACCCATGGACTGAGAGCACTAAATTAGTTGTTTTACTCACATCTTGATTGCGGCAATTTCTATTTCCATATAGCCATCCTGCCTTTGCCCCCATGTTCCTCTTTCTCCTAATCATCATTATTGAAAAGTGAAGCAAAGTGTTCACTTAGTTTTCAGGCCATACCTGGATTGATTTTTGTCACTATCCTGTCCATGCTGCATATAGCAGCCCAGCTTCTTCTCTTGATCTCTTTCCATTTATATGACCAAAGAACCTTTTGCTCTTTGTTTTATCATCATTGCTCTTTGTCATTGCAACCTTTTCCTCCTTGTTTTATCGTCATTGCCAAGATATGACTCAGGGTTTGCTTTTGGGAAGTCTCACTTTGTCCTTACATTTCTTGAGCTCAGATATAGCCTTCTTTACTTATCAGGATTTTTTTTCATTTCACTATTTAGCTAATATTTCCAATTTATACTATATTTCCAAATTATACTATATTATGTTCACAAATGTATAGGAATGGCACTGGTATTTGGATCCCAAAAGATAACAACAGTTCTGAGCTAAATTTCTGCCCATTTTCTATGAAGCCAGTGGAGGCCTCTCTTTGACATCATGGTCACTATGCCTTAGCAAATTTAGGCATTGAAGTGAGGATGGTTGGGATCTAATCTTTGTTCTGACAATGCTTTTACTCTTGATCTTTGGCACGTTACTTAGTCTCTCAGCATTTGAAGCTGCAACCTCAGTAAAACAGAGGCTACTACTATATACCCATCCCTGGAAAAGACTTCAAGACCTATAAATGAAAAATAAACCCTCTATGTGAAGCACAAACAATTACTATTAAGTTCAAATAGCTTTGTCTAGCCAGGTTTTGAAAACCCCTAAGGATGGAGCTCTTTTTATCATACCTACAATTTTCTGACATCCTTAATTATTGCAAAGGGCAGGAGCCAAATAAAAGGGGCAGTCCACAGTAAAGCCTTTTCCAGTTAACATGTTTTTCTTTTGCTCCTACGGTTTATCTCTGGCCTTCACAGTGTCCTCCCACACATGAACCTTACTGGTGTTTTTTCTTTCAGTAACTTTTGCAGTTCATCACCCAGGAGATATTTTCCTTAACCCACAGTCTCCTGTGAATAAATTAAAAATAGCTTCCAGGCTTTATGTGGTTAATGTAAATACACTTACAGCACTACTCCCTTGGCTCATGTAGGCTTCCAGTCACTGCAGTAAATGGTGGAGGACTCCGACACTCCCAAAATGTTTCTCTTTGGCTGTCTTCACTTCACTGACAAATTTTTTACTTTTCTATCTTGACCTGTAACAGAAATTCTTTTACAACTTTCTGTTCTTCCTCCCCTCTATCTCCTCCCACTTTGGATCAGGAGAGCTAGGCTGTAAAAAGCTCTTACTTTGTGGATTAATAGTTAACTCCAAGATCTTCAAACAATCAAAGCTGCGGTGAGTCACCTGCTCTGGGAAAGGCAGCAAACAAATCATTTACAGCTGCAGGCTGCTTTGCTGACAAGGTGGTGACATCACTGAGAACAACTGAGATGCCTGATGGCCTAGAAAATATTGCTCCCAGGGTCCTTGGGAATGCAGGAACATGCTTAAAATATCAGGAAAAGAAAAAGTGGGGACTGAGGGAAGAGCAGCATTGTCAACTAACAGAGCAATGAGAACAGCTCCACAGCCTTTTGCTTGATGATTCAACCACTTTCATTTTAAAGCTGACTTTGACTTTATTCTTACTAGCTATAAAGGAGTATAAATGACTGCAGCCAGATTCCTCAAGGCTATTTTTGAATGAATCTGCCATGTCAATTAGTCTGCTACTAAATAACAATGGGTTACAAACTCATTTTGACATGATGTGCACTTCACTGTACGTCATGCATATATACACCCTCTCTGAAGTTGAATGTGAAAGCGCTACCAAAATTAAAGATGAAGTCGTTCTATAGATAGATGCACACTTTAGCTCTCTCTGTCTGGGGGGAGGGGGGAACACATGGTGGAACATTGTGGTAGAAGACATTTTATCAGCATGAGTTTGAAATGACTATATTACTCACAAATGGTGAAGTTGCAAATGAATTATGCACATCATTGCAAATGACAAATGTATCCCAGGGCTGATGGTTCATTGATCTGAGAACGTGCATCAAATCTGCACACCTGCCCATGAGGCAGAAGTGAATTTCACCCACTCTGAGAAGGAGGAAATGTCATAAATCCATTAGCAAAACGAGGAGAGAGAGGCTTTCAGAAAAGGCCTGAGAAGGCACAAGAGAACAGATTTAGGTTCACCAGCCTGCCTTTACCATCACTGGGAATTCTCAGTCTGGTAGTTTTGTGTGAAGCAAGTCACAAACTGAGCTAACTTATCTGATATGAATGGAACAACTAGGCAACCAGGAAATAGGACATCTATTTCAGGGTGAAGGTTGTGTTGGCCACACAGAGGAGGATTCTGAGGATGTAATTGTTGCAAAATCAAAGGGAGAGGCTAGGGACATACATTAAATATAAACTGGTTTAAGTGATCAGAAACTGGTTTAACCCTGTAACAAAACATAAGTTCAGTGCACACAACCCAGTTTCAAAATGGCCAAAACCGGTTTGAGATAAACATGGTTAAATATAGTGTCAGACTTAACTGATTGAGCTCAAACCAGGTTATGCAATGTCTGTCCCAGACCCCTTACTGGTTTAACTTAAACCAGAGTCCCCTAACATCCTGGCATGCTGTCTGGGCTGGGCTCTCTGCTCCAGCGCAGCAGGGCTGGCCCTGCCCTTCTGCTCCCCAGCCCGAGCAGGGACAAGCAAGGCTGGGGAACTAGCCAGACACTGGCCCTGGGAAGGGGACAGGGAAGAGATTTATTCCCACTCCCCCTCCCCCATTCCACTGGCAGGGACCTGCACGTCTCTGTTGGCTGCTCCAGCAGTGGCCCCAGCAGTAGCTCTGAGTGAACTGGCCAGGGTGGGGTTTAATTCCCCCCTCAATGTCCCACCTGCACAGACCTGGACCTGGGTGCACTGGGTGCTTCCCACTCACTGCTGCAGTGGCGGGGCCAGGGTGGGGCTAAATGCCAGCCGGCCTGGCCCCTGAGTCAGGGGGGAAGGAAGAAAGGTTATTCCCCTCTCTATCCACTCTGCCCTGGGGGACTGCAGAGGAGTCTGCCTGCCCCAACCACCACTGCCTCTGCTTGCCCTGTGCATGGGGCAACCAGCAGGATAAGCCCTCTCCTGCCTTCTCTGCCAGGTGCAAGAGGGAGTGGGGAATAACCCCTCCTTTGCCTAAGGGGCTCTGCTGGTTGGGCTCTGGGTGTGCTCTGGCCCTGCCGCTGGAGCAGCAAGGAGGCAGGACTCTGATGGGGCTGCAGCCCCTGCCCTAGTGTCCAGGCAGTGTGAGCCACTTCCCAGCAGGAGGGGCATGAGCAGGGGTCAGAGCTGCCACAGACTGCATTGGGTAGGCAGTGGCACTGGGGCTCGGAGGGGGCCATCGCCCCCCAAACCTCCCTAGCGCTGCCACTGTCACTTGTCTGCAGCAGCTTTCCCTGCCCTGCCCCTACCCACAGTGCACTCCTCCACCAGAAAGGGGCTCACAGTCTGGGACACCATGACAGGCATTGCTGCCCCCATCATGGTGGCTCCCCAATTGCTGCTCTGGGGGCAGGGGCATGGCCCCTTAAGTGGGGGACCATGAGAGGGGTTATTCCCCCTCTGCCTCTGGGGGTTCTCAGCGGGGTCTGCCACTGCTCTCAGGGAGTGAGTGGCAGGATAAGCCTGCTTTAACTTAAACCAGAGTCCCCTAGCATCCTGGCATGCTCTCTGGCAGCCGCCTCTGCCAGATCCTGGAGGGAGGGGGAAAAAGCTCCCCTCCATGCACCCTGCCTAAGGAGACCTGCCGACCAGTCTCTGGCTGCACCTCGGACACTGGAGCAGCGAGTGGGGAGTGACTGCGATGGGGGCTGCAGCCCCTGTCACGGTGTCCACGGAGCATGATCCTCTTTCTGGTGGAGGGGCCATGAGCGGGGGTCAACACTGCTGTGGACTGTGGTAAATGATGGCCCTGGGGCTCAGAGAAGGCCATTGCACTCCGCCCCCCAGTACCACTGGCACTGCTCATCAGTGGCAGCATTTCCTGCCCCACCCCTATCCACAGTGTAGCCCCCCTGCCTGGAAAAGGATTGCACTCCTGAACACCGTGACAGGGGCTGCTGCCCCTGTCACAGTTGCTCCCCTCTTGCTTAAGAGGCTCTTCTAGCTGGGCTCTGCCCGTGCCCCTGCCCCCAGATCAGCAAGGGCGAGGCCATTATGATGGGGGCAGCAGCTCCTGTCATGGCGTCCATGGAGCACGAGTGTCTTTCTTGCAGGGGGGCCGCGGTGCAGCTGAGGGCAGGGCAGGGCAGGGAAAACTGCTGTAGATGAGCAATGGTGGTGATGCTGCAGGGGCAATGGCCCCCTCCAAGCCCTGGTGCCATTGCTCACCTCAGTTCGCAACAGTGCTGACCCCTGCTTGCAGCCCTGTGCTGGGAAGAGGCTCACACTGCCTGGACACCACAGCAGGGGCTGCAGCCCCATCTGGGCCCTGCCCCCTCGCTGCTCCAGTGGCAGGGCTGGAACATGCCCAGAGCCTGGCCAGAAGGGTCCCTTGGGCAAGGGGGCAGGGAGTGGAGTTATTCCTCCTCTCTCTGGCATCTGGCAGAGGCAGCAAGAGAGGGCTTATCCTGTTGCTTGGCCTGGGCACAGAACAAATGGCAGTGGTGGCGGCAGGCAAAGCAGGCAGACCCCTCTGTAGTCCCTCAGGGGCAGAGGGGGTGGAGGAGAGAATAACCCCCCTTCTTCCCCCTCTGCCTCAGGAGCCATGCCAGCCAGTGTTTCACTGCACCCCCAGCCCCACCACTGCAGGAGCAAGAGGGAAGTGTCAGGTAGACCCTGGCCTGGGTCCATGCCAGTGGGACAGGGAGGGCTGGCTATGCCCCCTTCCCCACCCTACAGCACAGCTTCCCTATAGGCAAGGGCTGGTCTAGCATACCCCACTCCTGGCCTGAGCAACTGCAGGCATGTGCCTGCATTTCCTCAGTCCAGAGAGAATGTCTGCAGTTGCAAATTGTTTCAATCTAGGCAGGTTAGATTAACCTGCCAAGATTGAATCAATTCAGGCTCCAGCTTTTTGAATATCTGTCCCTAGCCATAGTGTTCAGCAGAGAAGGACTCAGCATAGGTGATTATTCTGAATACTCAGAAAGGTTGTAATGGAGCCTATTCTGCCTGAGAAGGAAGGGAACTGGTAGGACAGGGCTAAGTAAGCATGCTAGCTACAGTGAAATGGTTAGAAAACAGCTCCTTGACAGCAGACTTTCAGATTTTTTAAAATCATTATTGCCCATTGCTATACTGCAATAGCACCTAAAGACCTCAGACTACATAATAACATCCAAAGACAGAAGCCCCAATGCCTTCTAACAAGGAAAAGAAGTTGCTTCTTCAAGAACAGGCAACCCAACAGACCATAGAGTTGGTACACTTCCTACTGATGGTATTTTCCTGCTACTTCTTGACAACAACAATCAATGTTGCTAAATATACTACTTGCAAATAGGGCTGCCAACCCTCCAAGACTGCCCTGGAGTCTCCAGGAATTAGATATAAATCTCCAAGAGACTGCTGAGAATCCCCCAGGAGATAAATAATAGGGCATTCATTAAAATAAACATTAAATGTTGTATCTGATTTATATAATAGTCCAGTGGGCTTTTAAAATGTAATAGTAATGTGCATTTGCTTTCCTGATGTGGTCTATGCACCATAATCTGTAACTGAGATACGCAAGCACGCAGGCATATTGGCATTCTGGAAACCTCCAGGAATAGATTCAAACAAGTTGGCAATCCTACTTGCAAAACCGTCAAAACAAAGATCATGCCAGGGGTGTCCTTGCTCTTTTCCCCAGCAATCAGCTGGGCCACTTTTTAGCTATATCATAAAAGGGGTAAACCGTCTGTCAATAGTATGTGGTTTTCTACCTCTGTGTCCAACATGCATGGGGAAAAATTAAAAAGCTACCTATTCAGTTACATAGTTCTAATTGGTTCCCCCTACAAAATGAATGCTTAGGCAGCACTCCTAACCCCAGACTTCCTGTGTCTGGGAATCTCAGTGACTAAAAGGTACAATTCCTAATCTCACATATTCATTTCCCAGCCAAAGCTTGATAAACAACAAATACACTTAAACAACATTATGTGACACAAATTTAAATGCTTAAAAGCATTCATGCACCTCACTAACAACTTTTGATTAACCTCTGACTTGCCCTGTTGCTTGGAATTGAAGATATCCCTTGAAAAACAAGTACTCCTATTGTTAGGATATGGTACCTCAATTTATTCTAGCCATGTTA